AGTTCATGAATTTCCTCGTTTTATTTTCAGCTTTTATAAACACGTCTTACTGCGCGTGAGTCAGAAAATGCGCATGAGATTTTCTTTTTTTTTCTGGCCAAGCGCTTGTGTTGGTGTTTTCTCTTCGACTGGAATACTTTATTTGAAACTGATAGATGTTCAGGTACCAGTTTTTTTTTTATCTGCAGTCAAGGAAGTTTGCCTGTATCAAGCACTGGCGACGTAGATGCACTCTCCTCTTTCTATCATTAATATGAATTTATATTTTAATTTCACCTGACAGCTTTCTCATGATCATTACCTCCCAGAGTTGATATTTACATCTCATTATCGTCGTGAATGTCATTTCTGTCGTGTAACATATGCTTTCAACATCCGTGACTCATGGTCACTCGCTTAACAATACGCCGATAATGTTAAACAACATAGATACATCCAGACGTGTTTCACCGTTACTGCAAAAAGGATATCTGCCTCACAAATATAATCAGCTACACCTCACCACTCATTAATTTCTCTCTCTGGTACCTCCATCTCCTCGTTTTATTCATCACCTCACCCTGTGCCTCACTACTCACCGTTACTGCAAAAATATCTACCTCACAAACATAAGCAGCTACACCTCACCACTCATTAATTTCTCTCCCTCTGGTACCTCCATCTCCCTCGCTTTACTCATCACCTCACCGTCGCTGTACCTCACTACTCTGCCAATCTTACCTGACTCACTCCTCCCTCATCACCACACGACCGCAACCACTACAGTTACAGCTCGCTTCCTATTTGCACGCAAGGAGGCTTTGTTTGTATGTGTATGTATACGAAGCCTGTTTTGAAGATACGTATACATGCATATATTAGACACGTATTTTACAAGGGCTAGGGGGTGGGAGTTCCCCTTATTTGTGAGGTAATGTGCAGTCCGGGTTTAGATAGGCCTACGTTTTTTCTCGAGTGCGGTTTATGACGATTTTTGTCGTAAATATTTGTTGCGAAACATTCATTTTTATTTAGTGTGATCAAATGATTAAAGATTTAAGTATTTTTTTCTCTTATCGGATTTCCCCACGTCTGTTGCAAGTCCACGCCAAATGGAATCTTCCAGAGCCGCCCAGCGCTAGCTAGCGTTACGTCCCAAATATATCGGTAAAATGCGTCTCTAGAACATGTCGGACGGTCTCGCTGTGGTCTTCCCATGGGATATGAAGGAGAAAATGTGCATTGTGACTTCCGCGTGCTGCGCCAAGGTCTGGTGACGTGTGGGTCCGAGGATCAAGTGAACCAGTGCACACACTTTTGCCTTTCTGGAGGTGAACGCGGAATGGATTTTCGTTGTCTTACTGACTAAGTGGAGAAAAGTGTGTAGTTGTGTCGGTTATGGGTATAGGGAACGAGTGCTGTGACGGGTTTGATCAGTGGATAGACTGGATAGATGGCGGGGATGTGCTGTGTCGTTTAGGGATGATACAGTTGATGGCGGCGATTACCCGGATGTAGTGACACTTCTGTTGAGAAAAATAAGAAGAATCTGGCAGTCTGCCAAAAAAAAAAAGTGGTTTGGCAGATACAGTGAATAAATATGACGTTTTAAACTACTGCCACTTCTGGAAACAAACAATCGAGGAAAAAGATTCGAAGCTTTTGGGATTTTTTTAAATAATGGAGCTGCAGTGATGTGAAAATTCCACTAGGTTTCGAGTACGTAAAAAGTGTTTCAGGTGTGCTAAGCTTTATAACGGTAAAACTGTGAGCTCGAACTCCCAGAGTTTACAACGAAAAAGGAATTATTGCTTTGGGAAAAACGTTATATATTACGCACATGGGAAACTCACACAGTCTGTGCAGATGCAATCATTCTTGTTTAACATTATAATCGTATTATAAATTTACGCTTACATATTACCAGACAATTAATATTTTCCATTAACAGATACAGAATGAATATTTTCTATTAACAGATACGTAAACCGCACGAATATAACTTTAGGGAGAAAGTATAATGACCACTAGAAAGAGTGTTCGAAGTGAGAGCTGCAGAAATGTCATCCCGAATCTAAAATTGACCTAACTGGTTTTGTATTATTACATTCCACTCCACCGACCTATGCCAAGTTTAGGAGCTGCAATTACACTTTTATAGAGGGCGTTTTGCGAGGACGAACACCCTACCTGTAATTAATGATTTAATTGGTTATTTAACTGCAGTCAGAAATCAGGAAAAGGATTATTAATACGGAGGTCCGTGCCTATAAACTGGCTGAATACTATTATTCTATGTAAATTACCAAAGATTTTTTTTAGCTATGTACGTAAATTAAAGACAACAGTTTAATTTTTTTTTTTTTTACATGTTTCCGAATAGATGTATCCTTAATATGTGAATGCTTTCATCCAGAGAAATCGCACTTATTGCCTAGTAAATGCATTTAGTGTAAAGTTATAATTTCCTCACCGTATTGCAAGGTGAAACAACAAAGAAAAATATAATTTACCTGTTTTTCTCAAAATATATGAATGAATCTCTCTATACCACATGTGATGTCAAGTGATATTGATTACATAGTGAATATTGATGAGGATGCAATAAATCGTACAAAAAAGATGACAATATTTGTTATTGGAGCTCGTATTACCAGCATTTTGTCGTTGGTGGTTAAGTAAATCCACGGAGTCAATACTTGTATAATGCGGTTGGAGAAACCATTTTGCGGTAATACTCGTAAAATAATGTTGATATATCTCTTGATCTTCATTGCGCAAAGGGATCTATCTATCCACACAAAAAAACACGAAAAAATATATGCGTTTCGAGAAAAAACGAGACTTTTCCTAACTTTAAAGAAGGCCCATATAGCCCTAGATCCAAACCACCATTCTTATGAACGACTCTGTACTAAGCTGAGAGGCAGTTTATTCCGAAAAAAGGGGTATATCGCATGCCCGGCTACTTTGCGGTATGCTGGGAATTATGGAAGGTGTATAATCTGGTCTGTTTTTTATGGTGCGGTTGTTGGAGTGCTGGAGGCTACAAGAGAGGGCGCGAGCTGTTCTGCGCATGTGTTAGACCTAACCGTGTGTTAACTTACCGAGAGGGCGCTGCGGCTGTGGAACCTATGTTACCACACCGATAACGATGGTGATAACAGTAATGAGGACTTGGTGTTAATATTGGCATTGCTTTTGATATCTAGGGTTTTTGGTCACGTTAATTAGGGATGGGATGGTTAACTTTACTCGAGAACGTAGTTATATTGGTTATCATTGAGGAAAAAATGGTCATGTCTATCACAGTGATGATGTTTTATGTATTAATAATATATAATGAAAATAGTGACGATAACAATATTTGGGAAAATAAAACTCTCTATATGATCGTAAGAGCTAATTTAGACTATACAAATCATCTGTTTAGAAGATAAGTTGCAATGCAGAGTAAATCTAAAAAAGTAAACTGTAAAACTTATAATTACTTTACGTGTCTAATATATAGAAAAGAAATATTAATACCAATACTGGCCATCCTCGTTGATACTACGTGTAACAAAGGAATGCAGATTCACAAAGGTATTTTCCTGAGTTATATCCCTTAGGCTTACAGGCGTTATTGCGTGTTCGTACGATATTTTTCTACGTATCTCCCGCGAGTTTGATATCCGTTAAAGATAATGTTGTAGAGATATATTTACTCACTATGCCTTGTATATCCCAACGATATATACAGTTGCTCAATAAAATAAACCTGCTGTCTTTACAATTTTCCGCGCCGGCTACATTATGTATTACCCCTGCAACCATTTTAGTGTAGGAATTAAAGGAGATCATATTAAGGGTAAAGAGTCTAGATTTGCCATATGACTTCAGGTTGTCCTATATATACACACGCTACAAAGGCCGGCATGGGGCGGGATAGACAAAGCTGTATTTATCATTTATGACTTCGATTTCGCTCTTATTGTAGAGAGTATGTAGTCGTTTCTTGTAGCAAAATAATGTCAGTTAATGGAGGCGCAACAACAGTTCGTTTTAAATGTTTTAATAGTGGAAGCGAGTTACGCCCACCCACTGATAACTCTGTAACGTTTAAACAAAGACTTGTTTTCAGCTTAGAGTTACGGATCACTAGCTTGTATGCAGGTATTAGAGTCGAGAGAATGTACGTGCTTTTAACAGGGGATCTTTTTGTTGCAAAACAATTGCCTTAAGGTTTCGGCAATATTGAATTTTCGTTCGTTAAGGTTTGTAAAACGTAAATGAGAGGGCGGTGCTTAGTGCGTGTAAAACCGCACTGTGTAATATATGTTGCTGCAGGACAATGGTATAAACATGTTTCTTGAATTTACACCTTGCCATGTATGTCCCATAGCTTTATGTCCAAATTAATCAATTTAATTGCAAGGATCCAATATTTTTCCGCTTTATCAAGTAGTGCGGTCATCTACCTTACGTCATTGACAAATATGAAAGACTGAGAAAGATGAACGACTTTCTCTATACTTGAATCAATCATGGTTCATACATATTTAATGTTGCATAAATAGGTTGTTATATTGATACAGGGAAATAAATCCAGGCACCAAACAGGGTTTTAAACATAGGAGTGCAGGCGGAGTGATACTGCGTACTGCGGCTCTTTAGTCACAGGGGTACCAACATGCGATGGATTTTCAATTCATATATCGAGATTAAGGTTTGCGTGAATTTTCTTATATCTGGAATGGAGACACGATTATTTGATCTTTATTTATTAAGGTACTGACTGCATGAATACATACTGCGCCATTCAAGTTCATACGAAATTTGTACCTGGAGACAGGTGAAGCTTTGTAAACAGGTGAATTCACACACAGCCCTTCTATACACAGTTACTCTCAAGATAAATGTTATAAAGTGAAAGAAAAATGAAAATAAACCTGTAGAGCCCCAGTGTGTGAGATCCCTGTCCAAAAAAACATGAAACTCTCTCTTTAAGAATAACCCTCCCGTCCCCGCAAAGTTGGCAGCCCTGCTAGACCCTGTAGTCAGCCATGATGCTTCTGCAGATTCACTTTCCTCGCTGAAGGAAATGTAAAATCGTGAAAATTCTCTAACCTATGACAACTATGGATGTATAACAGTGCATGGACGGGGATCATAACTACACGGCAAAGGTCACATACATCTCAAGAGGATCCAGGAGGAGTGGTAAGAGCAAGAGAAGTGAACAAAAACGTCTCCGGGAAAGTCTCCTGACGAAACACACACAGACGGAGAGTTTGTTGCTCCCTGAGATGGCCTTGGCCTTTGCTCGCTTTTTGGCCATTTGGCAGGACCGGTGGGCTTAATTTACTCATCCCCGGGATCGTCCGAGCCAATAGAACAGGTGCAGTTCCGACCGTGGTGGTTTTATGGGCAAATTGAATGAGTTGTGCGTCATTTATCCGTGCTGGAGATCAGCTGATGGTAGAAAACGGCTCGGAAAGCAGAGTCGCTACAGCTGGATGGATTTAAAGATTTTTTCGGTGTTCGCTGCCCTTCGGTTTTACTCTCTCGGGAGATTCTTCTCTCGGGGAAAAAATATCGGGGAAGTTCTTGTGATTTTGGAAAGTATTCGCGGAGGTAAATTTTCTATTATTAATATATTTTTTCCACCTCGACTCTCGCGAAAGAACAAGTTCCTTGACGTGGAGGCTTTGGTTTCCGTTATTAGGAGTGTGTGCGAAAAGGTATTGTTTTTCATAACTTTCATTGTACGTGTATGCAAGTTTATTCAACTAAGTTCCCAAAAAAATGTAAAAAAAAAAAAAAAAATTGAAGTTGAAAAATGAAATTGTCTGAGTTATTAGAATGTTATTGTATGGAAATGTGAAGTTTGGAGACTGTGGATTGATCTCTGTTTGGAATGTTAGAAAGGTGAATGGAGTATTTGACTCTCAGAGAGAAGATTTAACAAGAAAGAGGTAGGAATGGGGTGTGAAAACAAAGAAAACTTCAGAGGGAACATAGAAGTGATGATTTTAGAGGGTCATATTTTGACAGAAGTGTATTATGATAGGGTTTAAGTCTGACGCAGATTTATTTCAGCTTAACGCAGAAGAAAGGAAACCTCAATTGAAGTCTACAATTGCGTATATTTGATTACCGGTAGAAGCAGTCAGTTTAAAGCAGATTATGAATATAAGAGGAAAGCATATATTCAAATCAGAGGTGTGGATTTTAAAACTAAAATGCCAGAAAAAGTCGCAAGTGGATTTAAGTTCAAATATTTGGTGTTCAATGGGAGTAGAGCAGACAATGTTCTTTCGTGCTGAGAAATGATGTGGTTCTAAGTTAGCAGTGATAAGCTTGTCATATTTGCTGGAATTGCTTGGTATTGTGAATTTGCAACTTAGTCTCTGTAAAGCCTCGAGTGTTTTACCAAGAGAGCTGATAAGTGGCGTGTCAGTTGATTTGCTTTTTAACTGTGAGTTCAGATACAGTCGGTGATAATGCTTTATACTGTGCTGTTTGTTGTCATTCCTACCAGTGGCATCCAAGAAGAAAAATTAATTCAGGTTTTTAGAGGTTTTGTTAAAGGGGGGGAGAACAGAGTGATCGTCTACTCATGGAATAGGCATAGGATGTGCTCTCCTGTTTAAATTGTGTGGTGATTATATGCTTAGTCCATAATTTTCTCTTCTCATAATTTTTTGGAAAAGTGTTCCTCTTATAATTGACCACGGATTCCTCTGTAACAAAGGACTTTGTAAAACATAGCACCCTTGATGCTGCGTGTTTGTGTTCCTGGTTCAGTTTGCAGAGTTGTTTATTCTCAGAATTTTTTTTATTATTATTATTATTTGTTTTTTATCCATAATAAGCAAAATATTTCATTTTTAGGTTTTTACTTTTATAAATACTCATTCAATAGTGTACAATGAAAGAATCAGACTGGAAATATACAAAAGGACTGTTCCGGCTGGGAAGGATTGGCAAGCGGAAGGGGATCCAGGGGCAAAGCTACCAGGTTAGGAAATGTTTTGGTTCATATGGGAGTCTTTGTGGTAGTTTGTGCACTTAGGATGGTTGTTGGCATGAGTTTGGGACTTAGTCTCAGATGAATGCAGTCCTGTTATAAACTTTAAAGATCAAATGTGCCACATAGTGATTCTGTGCCTGAATCGGGAGCCCCAACTCTGTTGATGTATGGATGATTGTTCAGGGTCATGAGAAGTTGGTGAGAAATAACTTGATAAAATCACTCCATTCCAATTGTTACCAATATGATTGTGTAATTTTCTTGCATCATGGTACTACCCCTCCCACTGGGATGACATCTTGGCATCACTCACTGTCTAGCTTGCTTTAGGTTGTGGATGCTAAACAATTGTTCACTTATTGATCCTTGGCCATAATCATTGTGGTGGAGTATTTCCTGGAAAGTAGGTCTGAATTTTGTTTATTTTTTATATTATTATGTATTATGCTCATCCATGTATTGTTGAGAGCCACATCAGAGTGATGACAATATCAAAGTTCCCTGGAGCAGATTTCAAAATATTCTTAAAAATAGATATTACAAACAGCATTATGTAATACTATCTAGCTACAAAGTATTTTATCAGGTAAATTTGTACAGAAACAGTCAGTATTGTCTCAACAGTTAGACAGTTTATCTTATTTTCTACAAAATCATTGGTCTTTTATAAATCTAGTAGTAATTGAATGTAAGATAGCATCTGCCAACAGGCAAAGTTCCTCTATCATGGCAGAAGATACATGGTGTAGGGTTGCTGTCATTTCGCTCCAGTGTCGAAGGCGTGGATGTCATGGATAGTGCTTGTGTTATTGAGGAAGAAACTTTGATAATCTTTTAATGGGAGGGCTTACCTTTTTACTTTATTTTATTTATTATTATTTATTATTATTTTTCTTTTATTCATTTTTTTATTTTTTTATCTTTATTTTTATTTTTATTTATTATTATTATTTTTTTCATTTTAGTTTTTCACATATCAGCACTTTGTTTATTTCAAGATTTACTGCACTCAGGCACTGGATAGCTTAATAATTCTGGTATAAGTTACTGAAAGCAACATGAGGCTGAGGGTAGTGGACATCACCATCTTATAGAGCATAATAGAGTAAGAAACAACATTGTTTAAGCTGCGGGTAAATGACGTAAACGTCTGCTGCATATCACTGCTCAGAGACTAAGTCCATAACACCCTCAGACAGTGTCTTAGTGTCCGTTTTCCATAAGTTGGCACGAAGTGCTAAGAAAGGGGTACAGGGGGGATGCCCCCGGCCCAGGGAATTAATAGAAGGTAGGAAAGGTTGGGTTAGGTTTTTGGATTTGCATGATACCATCTACGGATGGTGCGTCGCACTTGGTAACAATTACCATAATTCTCTATCTTAGTAATATTTGCTTGCGCAAATTTCTTGTTAATCTTTGCTATGGTGGCACTAAGCTAGAGCACATTGATGATGATATTCTTGTAGGCGACAAAAGTTGCAGTTGTTGGTATACGAACTGATCTTCAGACATAAATAGTAATTCCACAAATTAAAGAAAAAGATTGAGGAAAGAGCCACTCCTAGCCCAAGTCCACTTGTGGCTCCTGATTTTCAACACTTTATCTTGCCGTCCATACTGAGGTGAAGACCTTGTTTGCAGGGAGGTGTCGGGGGGAGGGGGGGTCAGAAACCCCCATCAATCCTCCCCATAGGCAGTACCACAGCCATTCTTGGGAGTTTATATAGAGGAATAGATTTTTGTAACATGGAGGGTGGGATTAGTCTCTGCGAGGGAATAAAACTGTAGTCAAGTTCCAGTAATTGAGTTGTTACTGACATTATTGATGTTCGAGTTATGCCAAAGGAAAAAGGATGTTGGGGCCAGTTTGGAAAAATGAAAAAAGTTGCTGTGTACTAATATGCCTGCCTTGAAAATAGAATATCAAACCTTAACACTTGTGTGAAAGGGTGAATTAATGATTTTGGTTCAAATTAATTGGATATATTCGATTTTAGGAATGATAAGGAATGCTGTCAAGAAATTATATTAAATAGTTAATGAGTACAAGTGTTACTTTTAGCATTTATTTACATATATATATATATATATATTATATATATATATATATATATATATATATAATATATATATATATATTATATATATTATATATATGTATTGTGTATATATATATATATATATATAATATTATATATATAATATATATATATATATATATATATATATATATATATTATATATGTAGACATACGCTTACACATATATCCATAAATACATACATATAAGCTTTAGCTATATACCATAGATAATGCATAATGATTGTTCTCTTCCAAATTGAGTAGTCACTAAGAAACCCATATGAGACCCAAGGAGGGTCAGATAGACGTTATTGATTATGGGAACTGAAAGTGCACATTGTAGACAAGGTGTCCAACATGTCATCCGATCTCCCAATTTTCTTGTCTTCTCACTTGCCCTTTTCTCCTGCCCATCCATTACATTGATCACTCTCATTTTGCCTTAACCCCCCCCCCTTTCTTTTTTTTCTCTTTCTCTCTCTCTCTCTCTCTCTCCTCTCTCTCTCTCTCTCTCTCTCTCTCTCTCTCTCTCTCTCTCTCTCTCTCTCTCTCTCTCTCTCTCTCTTTCCCCACTCCTTCCCTCTCCCTCTCCTGTTTCATGTCATTTACTCCCTCTCCCTATTCTTTTCTCGCTTTCCTGCCAGGATTTTCCCCTGACAGACAGAATTGGGAGTGTCTTGTCCTCTCCTCACCCACACTCATCCTCCTCTTTCTGTATCCCTCTCCATCCTCTCTTCTTCCCTCCCGCACTCTCTCTCTCTCTCTCTCTAGCATTCTCTTCCCCTTTCTCCCTTTTTATCTTTTATCTCTCTTCCCTTCTCCCAGGGGTTTTTATTCAGGGAAAGAGGGGAGGACTGTGCAAGCTGGCAGGCTATCTTGCTTCTCCTATGTGGTGATGGTGTATTTGGATATTATCTGTCATTACGTTAGATCTTGGTATTGCCATTATGTATTTAAAGATTGCTTTAAGTTCTTACGTCAAACAGTAGTCAGTTCAAATTACTTCTCCCTCCTGTAAGCAATTATGTTATTATATAGCCCTTATAACTATGTTTCATTTACTTGTAAGGAGGTGAAATAACTATGATGTAGATGTGTGCGTCTTT